GAAAAGATAGAACCACCAGAAAAAAAACAAAGATGCTGAAGAACTAAACCACACAATAAACCAACTGGACCTCATAGATCTTTATAGTACAATGCACCCAAAAAAGGCACAGTACACCTTCTTCTCCAATGTGCATGGAACATTCTCCAGAATAGATCACATTTCAGGTCACAAGGCAAGCATCAATAAATTAAAAAAACATAGTAATAATACGAAACATCTTCTCAGGCCACAGTGCTACAAAATTAGAAATTCATTAATTTGGACGCTGAACAACACCTTGCTTGAACATGAGTGGGTAATAGAAGAAATAAAAAATGAAATTGAAAACTTTCTGGAAACAAATGACAATGAAAACATCAATTACCAAAACTGCTGGGAAACAGTCAAAGCAGTAATCAGAGGTCAATTTATAGTAATAAGCAAACACATCAAAAGGCAGGAAAAAATGACCATTGACTCTCTAACCCAACATCTCCAACAAATAGAAAAAGAACAGCAAGAAAACCCGGCACCCTCTAAAAAAACTGAAATTATAAAAATTATGGCAGAAAAAAATGAAATAGAAAACAGAAAAACAATTGAAACCATCAACAAATCTAGGAGTTGGTTCTTTGAAAAGGTCACTAAAATAGATAGACCCTTAGCAAAACAAAGGAAAAGACAAAAATAATGCAAATACAAGATGAAACGGGCAATGTCATAACAAACCAACTAAACTAAAAAGGCTAACATTGGAATATTATGAAAAACTATAGTCAAAGAAATAATGAAAACCTACAGAAAAGGAACAAATACTTAGAAATTCATACCCTATCTAAACTGATGCAAGCCAAAATTGAACACCTGAACTGACCCATTATAAAAGAATAAATTGAAAAAGGTAAGAAAACAACTTCCAGCCAAAACCAGCCCTGGACCAGATGTTTTTACAAGTAAATGTTATCAAACATTCAGAGAACTGTCACCAATTCTAAATAAAGTATTTCAGAAAATAGAAAAAGATGGAACTCTCCCAGACTCATTCTACGAAGCAAACATAGCCTTGTTATCAAAGCCAGGTAAAGACATCATCAAAATGAAAATATCTCTCATGAACATAGATGCAAAAATCCTGAATAAAACCCTGCCAATAGAATCCAATGATACATTAAAAAAAAAAAATTCACCATGACCAAGTGGGATTCATAACAGGTATGCAAGGATGGTTCAATATAAGAAAAACAATCAGTGTAATTCATCACATTAACAAAGCAAAGGACAAGAACCACATGATCCTATCAATTGATGCAGAAAAGGCCTTTGACAAAATCCAACACTCTTTCCTGATTAAACACTCAACAAAATAGGAGCAGAGGGGAATTTCCTCAACATAGTAAAAAAATATATACACAAACCTGAGAGCCAACACTGTTCTCAATGGAGAGAGATTAAAGGCATTCCCTTGGAGAGCAGGAACTAGGCAAGGATGCCTACTATCACCTCTCCTAGTCAATAGAGTAATGAAAGTCTTAGCAATAGCAGTAAGACAAGAGAAGGAAATAAAAGGTATCCAAATAGGAAAAGAGGAGGTAAAATTATCTCTCTATGTAGATGATATGATAGTATCCTTAGAAAACCCTCAAGACTCAGCAGGATAACTACTGGACATAGTTGACCAATTTAGCAAAGTGGCAGGATAAAAGATGAACATACAAAAATCAACTGGATTTCTCTATAGTTACAAAGAGAATACAGAACTGGAGCTAAAAGAACAGAACCCACCACAATAGCTAATAACAAGATTGAATACTTGGGAGTAAATCTAACTAGAAACACAAAGGACTTATTCAAAGAAAATTACAAAGCATTACTACAAGAAACAAAGAGACACCTGAAGAAATGGAAGAATATCCCTTGCTTATGGATAGGAAGACTCAATATTGTGAAAATGACAATACTATCAAAAGCTATTTACATGTTCAATGCAATCCCAATACAAATACCAATTCCATTCTTCAATGAAATGGAAAAGACAATCTCCAATTTCATTTGGAATGAAAAGAGACTCCAAATAAGCAGTTTTCCTTAAAGAGAAACAAAGTAGAAGGTTTCTCACTCCCTGAAATCCTACTACACTGCCGTGGTGGTCAAGACAGCGTGATACTGGTACAATGACAGACATCAGTGGAATAGAATTGAGAACCCAGAAATCAGCCCATCTACCTATGTTCAACTGATTTTTGACAAAGAGATGAAATCAGTTAACTGGGAAACAATAACCTTTTTAACAAATGATGTTGGTAAAATTGGAAAATTATCTGCAGAAAACTCAAGCAAGACCCACACCTCACTCCATACACAAAAACCACCTCAAAGTGGATGAAGGACCTAGGACTAAAACCAAGGACTATACACTTCATCAGAGAAAAGCTTGAAAGAACTCTAGAAGCCTTAATTCACACCATGGACAGTCTTGCAAGCATCCTGAAAAACCTACAACTAGGAGAGGAAAAAAAATAAATGAATGGGACCTTCTAAGAATCAAATCCCTATGCACATCCAAAAACTTCTGCAACAGGGTAAAAAGAAAAAAGCCATAGGCTGGGAAAAAAAATTGGTAATGATATGTCTGTTAAGGGACTTATATCTAGAATTTATAGAATACTCGAGCACCACAATGAGAAAGGTAAACAACCAATTGAAAAATGAGCACAGTATATGAACAGACACTTCACCAAAGAAGACATTCAGATAGTCAACAAGCACATGAAGAAATGTTCAAAATCTCTAGCTCTAAGAGAGATGCAAATAAAAACAAGTATGAGATGTCATCTCACCCCAGGAAGAAGAGCAAAATTTAACAGAAAAGCAAACAACAAATGCTGGAAAGGTTGTGGAGAAACTGGAAACCCTATTCACTGTTGCTGGGAGTGTAAAATAGTGCAACCACTATGGAAGGCAAACAGTATGGTGCTTTCTCAAAAAGTTGGAAATAGAAATACGATTTGACCCAGCAATTCCACTCCTGGGAATACATCCTAAATAAACCAGAACTGTCACCCAAGCAGATATATGCATGCCCATGCTTATTGCAATAGAAAAGAGCTGGAAACAACCCAAGTGCCCATCAAAAACAAATGGATAGAGAAGCTGTGGTATATTCACAGAATGGAATACTATGCTGCATTGAAAAACAAGGAACTCATGAAATATTGACCCTGGAGGACATTATGCTTAGTGAAATATCTCAGTCACAAAAGGACAAATACTGCATAATGCCACTGTTACAAAATAGGACTGACCTGGGGTTTGGGGGGAAACTAAGAAAAGGGGATAAATAATGTATACTGCATTGAAACAGAGGAGGGAGAGAGTTGTTTAAAAGGAATATATGATTAGGTATTATTTGTATGATAAGAGTCCAGAATAAGAGCTGCATAATAAAGTGGACTGGGGGAGGTGGACTGTATAACAATGAAAGAATTTCTTTTTCTTTTCAAAGAGAAAAGTGAACTGGATGGGGAGAGATGGGCAGGGAGGAAAATGTGCAGCAATGAATGAATGGAAATCCAAGTTCTGCATAAACTTTTATTAAAATATCAATGAAAAAAAAAATCTTCCTAGGGAAACAAACAAATAAAACAGGCTACTTTAAAATTATGGCACAGCTGTCATTACACTGAAGGAAACTAGACATAACAAGCAGCTCCATAGAAAGACTGTGGCTCCTACTTTTAAAAAAGTATGATAAGTTACTTCTTAAAAATATATTTCCCCCCAAACGAAAAGATAAATATATACATATAAAAACAAAGCCTCAGGTTCTGAGAAATTGTCATAACTTTTAAAATAATTTCAGCAGCCAGAGTTTGAAAAGCACATTCCATACATGATGTGCAAAGACAAAATGAGTCAGTGGACAGTTCAGCACAAAGCTGAGAATGTGGAGCTATGATGACACAGGCATTGTCCAGAAACCATGTACACTACAAACTAATGAATGATCGCACTTGCAGTACAGCATACCTAGGGATTTAAAAAACAGTCATAATTTCATCAATACCAGGAAGGATTACACACGGATCAAAAATGAAGTTCTCATAGGTTAAGTCAGTTAAAAGGTATGCCAAAGAAAAATATATTTTAATGAACAACAAGCTTGATATACTGTACTGAAATTTATTAAAAGAATCTATAATCACTGTACCCTGTGTATTTTGAAACTTAGTCTTATTAGAAATCATTAATGCTGGTTCTTGAATAATCTAAAAACTGTACTTACTCAAAGCTAGAATGCTATTTATAGTTCTAAGCAGATGGATGAAATGCTTTGATCAATATTCTAAAGTTGCTTTGGTACAAAATGTAGAATATAATAAAACTGGCAGCACCACCAGAAGTGTGACCATTTCACTGCGGGTCTAACTGACCCTCAGAGACAACAGAACATAAATCAAAATTCTTAGAAAGAAGAGCCGTTCTCTTGAAAATCTGTTACAACATTAAAAAGTGTGATAGAGCCCACAATCATGAAATAGTATTTAAGGCCCAATTTTCATGCTTCATTTATGTAACTACTCCTCAAACACAGTGTAGAAAATGGTTGGTTTTGATCCTTGTTTTGTTGGTTTTTTAAAAAAAATTAAAAAATATTGCTAAGATGTTCTCTAATTTTACGGTTTAGGATGCTTCTAAAGATGAGGACGATTGTTTGAGTGGTACATCTTAATGCTTAATCCATTGATAATATTTTAACATTAAGTTTTATATTTAGAATTTAAAAAAACACCTTTTTTTTGAGGTATAACTAATATTTGACTGCACATATTTAAAATGTACAATTTGATATACAGTCTTTTTTAAACAGCATGAAAAGTGCACAGCAACTAAAATATTAAAAATTCTCAACTGAAATATATGACCTTAAAATAGTTCATTTTAATTTCTATGAGGCATAGGTATGAGTATGTCTCATAAAACAGATAGGAAAGAAATTGATTGAATACCAAGTACCAAATTTATTCAGGTTTAGAAACTCCAAAATTGACAGCCAGCTTTCTTGGTTTTCTTCTGGAAGAATTTGGTGCCGATTTATGAGACATTGCTCGGTGGTCCTGGGGGGCAGCTGGCACTGATTTCTGATGTGGCACACGGCGGTCTTGGGGGGCAACTTCAACTTGAAAAGAAGGTGCAGGCTGAGGAATCTGAGAGGACTTTTTAGAGGCTGATGAACTCTCTTGTGGGGCCACTTTGGAGACACCAGAAGATCCTGGCTGGCTGGTCTGAGGTGGAGCAGCTTGAGAAGAACTCTGAGCCTCCTTACTCCCAAAGTTCTTCTTATTTGCAACTCTTTTCTTAGTAACCTTTAAGGAATCGAAGTAATGATCATTAATCAAAGAGGCAAAAAAGCTGGCATCAAGTCAAGTGATACCATAAAGCATGCTGCTAATAGGTTGATTTGTGCCTTCTACATACAATCTTCAAACCAAACCAGTAACTAAAAGAATTTAGTTATGTAATTTTCCGTAACTTAAAGAAAATTTTAATTCCTGATTTTAAGTCACTCTATGTTTGCAAAAATAGCATTATTATTTTATTGAATAATTGATGCCTTTGCCTTGTGGTGCCGGAGAAGAGTCTTGAACATACCAAGAAAACAAATAGGTCTGTCTTGGAGAGGGTGAAGCCAGGTTGCTCCTTGGAGTCTAGGATTTTGAAGCTCAGTCTCACATACTTTGGCCATGTGGCCAGGAGGGACTGATCCTTGGAGAAGGATATTAAGCTCCGAAGGGTTGAGGGACAGCACAGTCAAGGGAAACCCCAGATGAGATGGATTGATACAGTAACTGAGGCAATGAGGATAGGTATGCTGTAGTTAGTGAGACTTGTTCAGGACAGGGTAGATTCAGAGCTGCTGTATATAGGGTCGCTATGAGTCGCAGGCATCTCAATGGCACATAACAACAACAGGTATTAGTATTTATTAGACCACAAACAGCAGGAGAAGGGCCTGGGCCAGACCTTCCATCCAGTATTCTCAGTACGTGGCTTCGTACTGGGCTTCTAGTTCACAATGAATATGTAATTCTTGAACATACTAATTTTAATCAATAGTCTCTGAACTTAAGTTTGAGCAAGAAAAAGCATGTGCTTCCCAGGTCTCACCTGTAGAGGTATGAACTGATTGTGCACACCACTGGGGACGGGCCCCGGCATAGGCATGGACCCAGGATAGGAAGCGTGAGGGAAAGGCTTTCGGGCAACTGGCAACGGCGCTCCCCACGGCACTGCGCCGAAGAGATGAGCTGACGAAGGCATCATGTTGGCTGTTAAAATTCACAGAAAAGCTTTCTTGGAAAACTTTCTCATCAAAGCCTAAAACTTAAGACTTAAATATATTTTTAAGCAAAATTGATATTTCACTATAAAATTACTATAATTATTGCTGTTAAGAATCTTCAACTTTGAGAGCCCTTGACTGGTACTGTGGACAGTCTACAGAAGTTAACATGTCATTATGCTGTTTGGTGTACAGAGTTCAATTATACCATATATTGACTTGAGCTTTAAGAACGTCAGCAGTTTTACTAAAATAATAATTATAATTATAAAAAGGCCATGAGAGTTTCCTTAGAGACACAAAAGTCTGGGCACAAAAAGAAATCTTAAGGATCTCACCTGCCCCCAGTGCTAAGTTGTTACCATAAGGATCCCAGCCTAAAAAAAAAAAAAAGAATAAAAAAAGTTTTGAAATCTGACTATGTTCATACAATATGTAGATTGCTTTTCCTATTGTAATATTGGTAACGGAAGGATTTAGAATTTATATTTTGTCTTTATTGAGAGAGTACTGAATTAGTGGTTCCCATAACTGACTCGTAGGCAAGGCATTCAGACTCTGATGGGCTCAGGACCCACAAGTGCCACAGTGAAGGAATATGGTATTGATACTGGTATTGGTGACGAGCATGGTGTTTTTCAACGAATCTCCAGGCTCTGGCTTCTGGCTGAATTCTCAGAGTTTGCCCCTGAATGTGTAGGCATGTGGATCCATTTTTGGCTGCCTCACAATGTTTCTTATAAAGAATCTTCTACAAGTAACAACAAATACTGGGAAAAGCAAAATCTTACCAGCAGGCTGAGGAAAAACTGGAGGAATGGTTCCAGGTGGTACCAGAGGAGGATAATTTGGAAATATTGGTAGAGGCACAGAGACATTCACACCTAATGAGCTCTGCAAAAGCATTGAAACATTGTAAGACAATGCAATAAAAATATTCTGTACAGATTAAGAAAAAGGGAATTATGAGAGATCAAGAACTATTCTTACCAACTGCTGTAAAGCAAAAAAGGCAGCTTTCTCCTTGGCTTCACTTTCCGAGCGACATGGTGGTCCATGTACCAGTAAACCCGTAGACAGCCTCACCTGGCAAACTGTCATCGTCTAGGAAAGAGAACATGAATCTCTATGAAATGGTTTGTCTAGAAGTTTATTACCTTTGCTAAAGTTTAGTACAATCAAGCAGAACAATTTTGTTTGCCATTCTATAAAGAATTAAAATAAAGATTTGTCAGTTTACATTCTGAGTTGCCATGCAAAATTTCAGAACTGCTATCTTTTCTTTCATTGTTTATGAAATATAATGGAAAACTGTCTCAAGTTAGTTGAAGGGTCAAATACCCTAATCCTATCTTTTTTAAGCATTTTAATAAGGTCTGTCACCTTTATTATTATGATGATTATTTTTGTCTATACATTTTATTGGGGAAAAAAAGCCATCCTCATTGTTTTATAGCTTGCCTGCAGGAGTGACATCCAATTCCTAAACAATATACTTCTGGACACTGTATAAACTTTGAGAAACGATGACAGGTTTCAGGTCTTCTGTTCAGAGGGTCGCTATGAGTCAAACTTGACTAGATGGCAATCAACAACAACAAAATAGCTGCTTGCACAAAACAAGAGATGAATTCAGTAAGAACAATAAACACTGTATGGCCTGAAATACCTCTACAATACTGACTATCTGGCTCATTACAGAGAAAGATTGTGGATCATTTTTTTACAGTCTTCACTCATTAGCAGAAACTTTTCAAGTATGAATTTCTAAAATCTAAAATTCAGGCAGATTATATTTTTGCACATAAATTAGAACTCTTTATATTTTTACTTTACTTTTTTCTCCATGTTTAAAAAAAGATTTAAAAAACAAAACCATTACATCTGCCCCAAGGCAGTATCTCTACGAAATACTATCATTGTATTCATGCCTCCTACTTGAGGCTGCAATGTATCAAGAACTTGGACGTATGCATGAAAACCCAACTTTTCTGTAAACGTTTGTTAAAATAATAATTAAAGAAGAAAATATAAGAAGGAAAAACATTAAGAGGTGCTGGTTTCAGGTGTGCAGGGACCTCCCTTTCCATTCCTCTCTGTTTTCTTGTGAACCTAAATTCCAGAGCATTACCTGTACTCACGCAGCCCCTGTACAAGAAGCTATTGTGCCAATTTGAAATCATGAAAGGTCTGCATCACGGCTGTACCCTTTCACCATACCTATTCAATCGGTATGGTCAGTAAGTAACCTGGAAAGCCGAAGTCTACAAAAACTTGGCCATCAGAACTGGAGAAAGATAATTAACAACTTGAGATATGCAGGTGGTTCAACCTTGTTTGTGGAAAGTAAAGACAACTTGAAACACTTATTGACAAATACAAAGATTACAGCATTTTGTATAAAAACCAAAACCCTTACAGCAAGACCCGTAAGCATCAGGATACACAGAAGACTCAAGAGATTTCATTTTACTGGTATTCAAATACTCATGGAAGCAGCAATAAGGAATCAAATGATTCACTGCATTGCATACATTTCCTGCAAAGGCCTCTTTAAAGTGTTAAAGAGCAAAATTTCCACTTTGAGGACTAGGGTGTGCCTAACTCAAGCCAAATTACTTTACAATCACTTTATACACATTCTAAAGGTGGACAATGAATAAAGAAGACCAAAAAAAA